CAAATTATTTATGTTTGATAAGTTTACTAAAATTAATAAAACATTAAACACCGCTTCTTGTCTGTTGCATAGCAAAGTGAGTATATGCAGAAATCAAACCATAAATAAGTGCCTAGTAGTATGGCTCTTAAATAAGAGCGTAAATAGTGTAATTAATATTAAAAGCACAAATCATCGAAACTAGCACATACTGTTACGAAATGTACAGGCGCGGAAAAATGGCTTCCCCGTAAAGCAGTTTTAGGGTTGCCATAAAATGGAAAAGGAAGGTAAAGTTGCCATATTTGGCGAGAAATCGCCGATTTGGCGACAAATTGGCGATATACTTGGGCGGATGGAGAACCTTCTCGAACGAGTTCTTACCGGTTTAGCCCAGAATGTTCTCGAACACAAGCCGAAAGCTATATAAACCCTGCTGGTCCGCAGTCAGTTAGTGCATTTTTTTTTTTTTTTTTTTTTAGGGCGCAGCCCGGTCCCCCTTGCAAAACAAAGTTTGCCCTATGATCATATGCGGGCTACGCCAGTACAAAAATCACCACACAACTATACAAATACACGAATCACACAATGCCAATGGCTTCTTTAATAATCTTCATAATTTTATGCGCTATTCCTCTTGCCCTAAGTAAACCAGTTTTCATAAAATCTATGTTCGCTCCATCAATGCATTTGGTTAACTTACATTCTGTAATAAAGTGGACATTGTCTCCTACTTTTGTACATACTTTACATAAATCATTATCTTGAACATGGAATTTTTTCAGATAAAAGGGAAATCTCCCATGACCTGTAGTTAACTGATTCAAGTCAATGTCATTGTCAATATTCATATTTTCAGTTAGTGTGTCTCAGAGAGTGTGCCTCGTCTAGCGAACCGTGCGGAGTCGATCGAGTTGATAGCCGGGCAACGAGTGCCGAGTGGGTCGTCGAGTGCACCAAAGGAGTCTCTTAGTGTATCGCGGTTAGTGCATCGTCGAGAGAGCGTGCTGAGCTCCGGAAACGACTGAATTGAAGAGTCGGGGCTGTGCTCGTGTGTCGTCGAGTGCATCGCGAGTTGTAGCGTGGAGAGTCTCGAGAGTACGTTGAGTCCCCAAGAGCGACCAAACAGAGTCGGAAGCTGTACTCTGGTGCTTTGCAGTGAAGCTATCTCCACCGTCATTGCCTGACAGAGTGAAGGCTGTGTCGCTGATTGTTCCAGCGTGTTTATAGTAGATTTTCGACGACTGTAAAAGTGATTTTGGAGCTGTCCTGATTAATATTGGCTGAATAAAGTGTGTTTCGATACTTCATCAAGTGTCGTCGCTATTCGCTCCAAATCCACACGAACTCCGTACGAACGTGAAGGAAGAAAATAACGTAACAACTGGTGTCAGAAGAATCAGAAGAAAAACGCAACAATACTATAGCGCGTCAGGAGGAATATGAGAGTCACGGCGCCAGTGGACGAGTTGCTGTCTCTTTGTTAACGCTTTCGCTCGCTATTTAAACACCTTGTAATTTGCATTTTTGGTGCATTTGACAAAAAGGGATAAATAAAGGACAGATTTAACACAAAGCATTATATGTTAAATACGATACACCTTACAGAGTGAGTTGTTCCTTACATCCCTTTTTAATGTCCTTGTTTAAAAATATCTATGTGGACACTACATGACCTCCTTGTACCTTCTTATTAAATCATGCACATTTTTTGTTGCATTTCGCTTAAACTTATTTTCCCGAATTACATTAGAGATATATTTCTAATTCAACGAATTCAATTCTCACTTCACGGCAAGGAAAAAATGCATACAAATTCAAAACAACTTCATTAAAAATTGTGAAATATAGAAAATTCTAAAACACTAAATACAGTTCAAAAACAATTTTCACAATTAAAGTTAGAGTTTAAACTACACTGGTGTGCAAAAATTAAGGACGAAGTCGAAAAATTAGCATATCAGCTGAACGAAGAGGCAGAGCGGACAGAAAGACCAACCAGGAGATTAAGTAAGGTGATGTACGGTAACACATGCGCACATATGCAGGTAGACGTAATGGGGGAGTGTCTGAGTAGTATAAAGCATGTTGTCGGTGTAAGATCAGTATTTCTGGCAAAGAGATTGCACGTCGTACAGCAGTTAAAATCACACCGAGTTGCTGCCTCAGCGAGAAATGGCGAATAATCAGTCTGTTAGACGACATCTGGATGCTTTTACCTGAGGTCGAATCATTGGGAAGTTGGAGGAAGGCCGCAGTGTGACAAGTGGGGCTGCAGAGCATCGTTTCACGACTTTGGAGACAATTTCAAACTACAGGAACAGCTATCCGGGGGCTTAGTAGTGGTCGTCCACGAGGAACCACACCCGCAGATGACCGGTATATTGCCTTACAGGCCAGAAGAAACAGGCGGCAGACAGCGGGAGAAATCGCTAGACACGACACAGGCGACTGGACGACCGATATCGCGTTTTACCGTGGCCAGAAGACTGCACGGTGGTGGTCTGTTTGCACGACGCCCTGTACGGTGTGTACCTCTAACGCCTGCTCATCGGAGAAGGCGTTCTCTGTGGTGCCAGGAACACCGGAATTGGAGAGACAATGAATGGGGACGAGTACTCTTTACAGATGAGAGCAGATTCAGTCTGATTAGCAATTCTCATCGCATACTTATCTGGAGAGAGCGGGGAAGCCGCTCCCTCGAACATCATTGAAAGGGACAGGTATGGAGGTGGCGGTTTCTCGTTTGGGGAGGCATCATGCTTGGTAGTCGTACAGACCTTCACATCTTCGACACAGGTTCAGTCAACGGGACCCGTTATTGTAACGAGATTCTTCTTCCATAGGTGCGTCTTTTTAGAGGCGCTATGGGTCCGCAGTTCCTTTTCATGAACGACAATGCACCATGTCATCGCACAGTAGCTGCCGAACAGCTCTTAGAGAGTAAGGATATTGAACGTATGGATTGGCCGGCACGATCTCCGGATCTCAATCCCATCGAGCATGTATGGGATTTTCTAGGCAGACGCTTAGCAGCTCGTACCTCACCACCAGTAACGATTCCGGAGCTTCGATTGGCGCTGCAAGACGAATGGGCAGCAATGCCTCAACAACTCATTGACACCCTCATTCTCAGCATGGGCAGACGCTGTGAAACCTGCCTAGCAGTCAGGGAAGATCATATCCCTTATTAAAGACCGGATGTTTCTTGCTGGACACCCATCACAGGGATGTTTCGGCCTTCAATCGCATTGCGCTCCATGCTACTTTTTCAATAAAGCTTCTTTTTATTCCTCTGATTTCTCTTTTAGTAAGTGTTGCTTACATTACTCATGTCCTTACCTATTGGGGATCTTACGGTATTAAATGTGTTGATTTGGAAAGCTTTTGTACAAAGTTATATTGAAAAAAACCGTCTCGTCCTTAATTTTTGCACACCAGTGTAATTAAAATTAGGCAGAAAGACAGACGTTCGGTGCACAAAACTTTTGGCCCCATTGGGCAAAAAGATACTGAAGTTGGTGGCGAAAATAACTTAATTCACTATGCTATTATGTTTCAAATATAAACAAATGGCAGCGTCGGTTAGGCTTAGTGGAACTTAAGCAACTTTTAAATTGTGTATAATTCTACAACTATTGCACGCAGATTAACTACAGGCACATAAACCGTACCCGGAATATAAGAACAATATATAATTCAATCACTTTTAAAGCAAAAAATGCGCAATTTCCCAACATATAAGAATAAAAATCTTAGCTCACCGAGCTGGGTAACAGAGCGGTTATATATATATATATATATGTATAATATATATACATATATTTATATACTTTTGGTGCTACTTATGGCAACCAAAAAGGGAGGCGCACATCTACATGTTATAGCAGTTCCATTTACAAAATTTCAATGTTCTGAGGCTACTCGTTTTTGAGTTAAGGAAGATACATACGTACGTAGGTACGTACGCACGTGTGTTCAAACATCACGAAAAATTCTCTCCTAAATCCATTTTAAATTCATTTCACAATCTGTTTTGGAAAAAAAGGGTTCTTTATTCTGTCCGTACCTACAGATGTAACTCAAAATCATCGTTCAAATGGAATCGAGAATGGTCAAAGCGGATATTTTCGTTGAAATATGATACCCGAAATTTTTCTTGATTACAATACTTCCTTTCCTGTACAAGGAAGTAAAAATACGGTTATACAGTAGTGAAAATCCATGTCAGTAGAAAAAGTTTGTTAAAATAATGACATTAAGTATATTTACTCGAGAAAAAGACATGACAATTAATTCACATTTGGATTTTAACATTTGCTTCCGAATATGTCCGATTCCGGAATTATGTGTATATTGAGAATACGGCAAAGCACACGAGGGCTATCGATTCCGGAATTATATGAATAACTCTCTTTAATACAATTTGAGCAAGATCAAAAATTAAACGTCGAAAACTTTCATTAATGATATCTCAAGTAAGTTTGAACGTATACGGGGGGAGGGATTTTTTTCTGATTTATTCAGTTAAGAATAAAATTCCTGCAGAGTCCACATAATTTTATCAAAAGTTGTCACACAACTAAAGTTGCTGTAGTATGAAAAGTATGTAGTATGATATTTGATTCATTTCTTGTACTGTAGCAAAAGTACTTTCCCCAATCCTTCCATAGATATTTACGCAATACGTTTTAAACATCCTGTACATTTTCATTTGCTTATGATTTTTTTCTGTGATCGAGCTCCTTCAAACGCTAAGAAAATTGAAGGGCTACCATTATTAAAGAACCGTAAATTTTTACTTTCTCCATCATTTACTTTCCAGCAAAGATTCTTTGTGTTACCAGAGTTAAGACAAAGAAAATGATTCTTCCTTTCTCTCACCAATCGATATCCTGTTTTACTTCTTACTTGAAGGAACTCTAACTCAAATATAGTATTTTCTTACGGCTATTTTCCTTTGCTTTTGCTTTTTTATGTTGTGTGCAAGTGGCTGGAAATTGAAGAGTTTGTTTACCTAGGGCAAGGTTTGTTGCCGGAGATGAATATTGGCACTTGACAGAAAGCAGAGAAATTCCTTTAAATGAATTCCGTAAGTATATTTTTGTCTTATATAATAGAAAACTAAAGCTTCAAGGGATAAAATTAAATTTAACAGGATATGTTGGAATATGATTATATTCGTATGCATTAGAAGCTAAAGATTTATTTTCGGTTGTGATTTTAAAGAAGTTTATGGCCAGGGATAATTTACTTAAATTCAGAAATTTTTGCAGCAAAGTTTGTTTTTACTTAAGATCAATTTTTAAAAGTTATGGATTTTAATATTTACAAATCAAAAATTTGCCTGAATGTTTACATTTACTTTTTGAAACATAAATGATGATTAACTTCATGTTTTTTATATATTAACAGTTTTCTATGAATGTTTATCTTTATAAAACTTTTACGATGATAACGAAGCATTATCCTACAATTGAAGGGTAGGTTATCCTACAATTGAAGGGATTAATTTCCTGTATTTAAAATAAGCTCAATGTCTGAAGCATTTGCGACTGATATATGCATTATATATAATGTACCTTTAAAAAGGGTTCGTGAGAAATACTTTATGAGAAAAGAAATTATATAAAGTTTTATTGTAAACAGATTAACAGAAATTCATATAAAACATTTAAAATCCAAAATACATATTATACATAAAATAATAAATGTTGTTTTACAAACCTGAATTGGATTGCAACTTATACTTGGTTTCCAATTAATTCCAACAATTCCTTGGTTTATTATAGTAGTTTAGAAATAACTTTAGCTCATCAGTGAGTCAAATGTATTTGGAAACGTTAAAACTGCATAAAAATGGAAATCCAAACCATAGAAATTGTTTTTCTTCTAGAATGGAAGATTAATTTTAAGTATTTTAATAATAAATTTTTGAGAATTTTGAAAGATATGACATTTGGGAAAAGCAGAAAATTATCGTTAACGGTGTCCCATGCAAGAGCATTAGTATTCAAAATACACTAGTGTTCAAAATTAAAAAACTTGCATAATTTGAATTTTTCAAAAACTGCTGAAAGGAAAATATAAAATATACTTTCAAACAGAAAATGAAAATCTGCAATGCCGAATACGCAAGCATAGAGTATGTGTGGGCAAGGTATTTAAAGAAAGGTCGCTGAAACCGCATATGACATTTTTCGCACTTCGAGGTTCATCGGGGTCATTTCGAGGTTCATCACTTCGAAGTACTTCGAGAGTCATCGAGGTTCATTTGTATCCCTCGATGACTTTCGCGATATTCTTTGTAATATTTGGTAATATCAAAAGCAGGCAGTTAAAATGAATAACTGCCAACGTCTAAATGATAGGAATAAGGTGGAGCACCTTCCACAGACTGGATCAGGGCAGATTGCTAGAAGTTTGAATGGCACAGCATCATATGCAGCTTACAGAAACAGTTTAAGGATACCGGATTTAATAGAGGTAAAGCTTGAGTAAGGTTATCCAAGAGCCACGACGACCAATGAATATCGATTATTTGTCCACTTCATCGAGGCGTCCTAGGAATGCAACAGCTTTTCAGCTCTGTCGTCATGTTGCCTCGGGAAGATGAGTTTCAAAGGTTACTGTTTCCAGTAGGCTAAATGAGAGGCGTCTGTTTCCAAGAGGGTCTGCTATTTGCATCTTTCTCACTTCTGCATACAAAATAACCCGTTTGTCATGATTTTGAACCAAGGATCTGTAGGGAACAATTTTATTCACAAATTTTAACAATTCAACCTAACTCTTGGTTCTCTACGTACCTTACCGAGAGAAAACCAAGAATCCGTTACCAAACTTTCAACATCCGAAAAAGGGACTAAATAGAGTTTTGATGGTCTGGGCAGGCATTAAATTGGGCGGTCAAACAGACCTTCATGTTTCTGACAGAGACGCAACACTCTGTAAGTGCAGAAAGGTAAAAAGAATTAATATTAGCCCTATGTGTGTGTTTGCAGGCGTATAATTGACTTTCAGTTCATTTTCAAACCGATATAGCTTATGTACTTAGCATTGATGGTAGATGATTTTCTGGAAAGTGAGGATACTAACCGCATGGATTGTCCACCTAGGCCTTAAGGAAAAGTCCAAAGAATACGTCTGAGACTTTCTCAGGAGGATAAAGGAAACTAGCATTTACCTTTCCAGGAACTGAAAAGAGCGTTGTTGCAGGAATGGGATCGACTGTCACAGGAACCAGCACCCCCTAGAATGTTCCGAGGGTTCTAATGTTAAGTTCTAGGGAGTGTTGCAGGAAATCATAATATGCCTCATTTCCAGTATGAATTTACATTGCGAGAGCTATACGACTGTTAGAAAGGACCATACCTCTATTAATCTTTTTTTTTTTTTTTCTCGATCTTGCAACCTCTGTTAAAGACCTTCCTGCCCCAACATGCCTTTTGGATGATCATGCGTGTGTATCATTATTGTCATATGGTATATGTTTTGTATTATATCAATCTTATGTTCGTATCAAATTTCTGTAAAATGTACCCATAAGTTCTGGAGATATTTGATCAAACATGAAAATTGGCTAAATCTGAGCACTAGTTTGAATAATTAAAACTTCTGTAAGTGAGAACGTAATGAAGTGATCATGGGTTTAAGCATTTTTTAATTCCCTATGCAATATTTTTCACAGGTTATCAGTCTGTAAATTTATAAATTTCTACAGATAAATATCCTACAAAAGTATACTAAGGCTTTACCAGAAACTGAAAGAAATAAAATAGTTATTTGATATGCTGTGAAACTAAGAAGTTAAAATTTTCATTGCATGGAGATGTTAGTGGAAACGTTTGTCGCATTTGTGAAATTGTTTATTTATTACAATCAGTGGTAGTTTAGTGTAGTTTTATTAGCTGCTACATTCTGGTACTGTTCCCTTTGAAAAATGTTGTGTGAAAACTGGTTTCAAAGATAATGTGCAGTATTATTTGGCTTTAATAAGTCATTTTGCATTTTCTGGAAGGAAATATAATTCTATGGCTTATATTTATGAAGCAAGGATCTGATATGCATATCGCATCTCCAATATACCTATTTTTAATAAAACACCCAGTGAAGACTGACTGACTGAAAATCCTATGGATTTCTTGATCTGCATATTTGACGAAATTTGATTTCTGATTAGCAGAATATCAAGCGTTTATTATTCAGATCTTTAGATATTGTCGAAATTAAAGAATGCCATTTAACCCGAAGTCTTCAGGACTTACTGCTGTCTCCTGTCAAGGTGGCTGTCTCTAGCCTGAAATGTGTGATATGTCATATCATGCGGTAAAAGTCATAGCAAAGCGCTTTCTGATATGAAAAGACAACTTACTGCGCAAAAGTAATTTCTTCACTATTTTCCGCATACTTTCAGCGCCGTGTATCAATAGTTCTTGCACTGGTTTTTTTTCTGGAAACATTGTACCATTTTGGCAATACTTTTATTAAATCTGCGTTCATGGTTTCCTCTATCATACATTATTGAGTTCCTACGGACTGCTAGCTTACATTTTACACTCCCATCAACTGCTCTAACAATTTAGCGATTAACGATTTTCAACATAATATTTCGTTTTTGAATAGTTGCAGGTTCCTTTTGAAAAGGAAAAAAAAATTACAAGATCAATGTGTATATAATATTTGTCGATTTGGCACGTAAGCACACGAATAAATAACAACTAAAGAAGAAAGGACATAAAATTTGATATCGTAATTAAATTGTAGGGAAATATTTTTAATCATAAAGAAAGTGTTTTTCTTTTTTAATTAACACATTTTCTAACACTAATTTAGTAGACGGTTGTTCTCACTTACTTTAGTGGAGTTTTGTTTATTATCTGTGTAAGAGAGAAAAATTCAAAAATAATTTGAAAGCGTTGTATGGAAGTTGCAAAATGCATGAGTTTTTGTGTTAGAAAATATGGTATGATTCATATGAATCATTTAAAATATATCAGAAATTAAATTAGATAATACGGTGCTTAAAATCCAAAAATTTTTTTCAGAAAAATGTGTCTTTCTCTCTCTTAATAATAGACATTTACTGAAGAAGAAAGATTTACTCGACAGAGCACTCACTGATATGAAAAATCACCCTGTCATTGACAGATATACTATTATAATCATTGTAGTTTATTGTGATTGTAAAGTATATTGGATTTAAATGCTCTGTTGGATTCTCCTTCAAAGATAATTTTTGTTGTTCCGGAAAATGGCCTTTCTGCTCAGAAATAAGCTATGGAACATCAAAAAGCATTTAGTTAAAAGGATTGATTGCTCATACTTCATTACAATCAGTGAACGTATTCAGCTCGCGGAAGCGAGTAATTGAGCGTCGGAGAACACGCATGCTTCTCAGTATTTTACTTTTGCTTACCTAATTTTCCGACGCAATCCATCACATCTGCTGCCTACATCGATCGCTGCTCACTTTTTTTTTCTTTTTTCGCCATGCAACAAACTTGTCATCTTGAAATATTTCTTTCAGCATAATTGTATGAATACACTAATCTAAATAATTTCCTTGTGGATTTTTCCAAAACTCTACATTTAACTTTGCTTGCTTGCTATAAAGGGAATGAATCAAACAGAAACTCATGATTAAAGACTCCCGTTATTCGGATTTCTCGTTTTTCATCATAATTAAATGTAGCATGTATGTTACTTTATTTATATGTTCCTAGGCGTTTTAAGTATTATCAGATATTCCAATATAATCCATAGTTTAAATTAAATTAACGGCTTCTTAAAGGGGCTAAAAAGCGTCATTTGCCATCTAAATAGCCTTATAGATAGATATATGTATCTGTCTAAGTATCTGTCTGTGTCTGTGTGTCTTTCTTTCGTGCTGTGCGCAAGCTAATAGACACAGGGCTACTAAATTTGGTACATGTATCTAGACAAGAGCCAGTGCATCTCGAAGCGATTTTTTCAAAATTCGAAAAAGATTTTTTTTTAATTTTATATTTTTTGATGAAATTGCATGAAGTCGATGGCACGCAGCCGCTGTTGCTGATATATCACTGTTGCTATTGTTGCTGATAACAGCACTGTTGCCACTCGAAAAAATAAGAGCGATAATTCTACTAATTCTACGCAGTTTTTAAATTTAATGTTTCTCTTGGATACTGGACGTTTGTCGAGAGAAGGCAACGGCAAGTTGGTTAATTTATTTATTAGGATAATTAATATTTGTATTAAGGGATATTGCTTATTTCAGTGTAATGTTTTGTTATATGCAATACATTTTTAGTCCAAAGGGGCTTTGTCCCTGAAGGACTATTGTTTTCGTTTCGCGATTTTGCGTTGGATCACTATAAATGTCCGTTTCACTTTTAAAACGGTTGCCACCAAATGTTAGAGTCCTGTATTATATTTAAAGAATTAATTAATGAAAAATCTGCATAAATGTATGTATATTTCTCGCATTGTGATAAAACAACGGTACATAGAGCCATCGAATTTTGAATGACGTAATCCTCCTACGAATATGGGCATTTGGAAGCCCAAATTTGAAATTTGGAATTTGTTTTATTATCTATTTTGTAAAACTTTAACGAATTTTTGATTAACAAACTCTAGGATTTCAAAGTCAGCAATGGCAACACTTTAGGGGAAAGGGGGGAACCTTTTTTATCTGCAGCGCGCGAAACTGTGTATCCAAAATTCTAAAGACAGGCTAATTTTAAAATTATTTTGCGACATTGCTATTGAACTGAATTTTATGGTTCATGTGCAAAGAATAAATCTAGATGCACAGAATAAACTACATTTTTCGAATATTTTCGTTAAAATAATTAGTTTGCTACGAAATGTAATATTATACGTTATAAGTTTCATTAGTTTAACGACAATGAAAAAATTGTGCCTCTGAATCACTCTTGAATAGAAATAATTTTCCATTTTAGTTTAAAGCAATTTAAAAGAATTTTTTTATTGCAATAAACATAGAAACAATACTAAGTATTTAAATTAGGGCCTATATAGATAAATAACAATTTTAATGTTTCATTACATTTTAGTTGAAATGAGTTGTGTGCTTAGGCACGTAAAGAAGAAATTTTATTATTTAAATTTCTCAAAATGTGCATTTCGTGTTATTATAAGAAAATAAAAATATATTTTTACCATATAATTATTTTCAAAATAAAATAAAGCAAGCAAAAACAAATTCTTCATTTGCTCATTTACAATGCATCAAATATGCATTTGGCTTACACAGTTAATATCTCAGTTATACCGATTTTCGATTATTCGATAAGGCTCAGTTACTTTGGATATTTTGAATTTTACTGAAAAAAAAAAAAAAAAAAAAAAAAAAACCACCCACATTGTAATAAAACTAAAGAAAAAATTAGTGATACTATCCTAAAGCAATCCAGATTTAAGACGTATCCAAATTTATTTCCCCTTCAGCCCTTTAATTTCGCAGTTATATATGATGTATACCTATCTCTACGGGTAAGCTAGTTTCATAGTTAATCGTAATAAACTGTTTTTTTTATGAACTTATTTTTTGGTGACAAATGTAAAAGTAATTAGAAAGTAGATGCTAATTGAAAATCATATTCAACCGAAGCATATTTCGATAACTTCGAACCCAGTACCAACACACCGCAGCTTGCCAGAACAAAGGATATGTCGCATGGGATTATCTGTCAAGCGTATGTGCCTAAAGCATAAACATAAAGCGACTAGCTCAACACTAAAAGAGAGATCTGAGATCGTTAAGTTCCAGTCAATATATCAAGACGTTTTAGAAAAAGTTTCAGTTAGTGCGAATAAAGACGTCGAGAAGACGAATTAGATTTTTATGAGTATTAGCAATATCATTATAAAATTAGGGAAAAGTACTAGTTGGTTTTTTTTAATTATTATTCTGACTAAATACGTCGACTAAATACGACTTTAGTCGTCATAAGTAGTTCAAGAAAAGAAAGTGAATTGCTGGGGAGAGTTAGTATCAGCGAAGATTGCTCTGGTAAAAGCTCTACGTTTGTTGATACTAAAGCTACCGTAACTTTTTACACCGATGGAAACATCTACATATCGATCAAACTGACGGTTATCGGTAGTTTTAGTATTAAGATTTTAAGTGTTGTTAAATTACACTTAAGAGTTTGTACAAAAAAAAAAAAAAAAAAAAGAGAAACATCCATCTATCTGACCTATGCATAGCATCAATTTTACCCTACATGATTCAGCTATCAGCTATTTCTTTAAACCAAGCTTTCTAAATCTTCAGGGTTTCCATTGCAAGGGGTATTAGACAGAATTTCATGGGATGTGACAAACTGAAATTGTGAATTTTGCTATTGCAGGGATAAATAAATACAGTGAGAGGTGTTACTTTTGTAAGGGTATAAAAATAGTAATCAACATTTTGTAGGAATGTGGAGTAGAAAACTTTGGAAACCGATGATGTAAACAGTTAAAAAATAGGACCTAATTTTTATTTTAATGTAATATTATTTTATTATAAACCTACTATATTTAAAACTTTTTCTACATTTCTTTCAGCTGTGAATCTAAAGAATTGTGGCAAAGCTAAGTCTTGTATCCTATACTCTGAGAAAAGCTCGTCTTGCCACGAAGACAATTGTGACTACATCTTGACTTATAATGTAGTCAACAATACTAACGTGGAGTTTGTACTGGGAGGTACAGCCAAAGGGGACCAAAATTATTTGGCTGTTGGATTCTCGATGACGCCAGAAGTAAGTCATTCACGATAGGCTTATAAGTGAGAATTCATTGCAGAGAATGTTTAACTCACTACATAAACGATACATTCTGTATTAAATGATTTCATATTACGTGGAATGTAAATGACAATGATATTATGATTTTCCAGAAAACTTATTAAAATCAAATTTTTCCGAATTATAACAATATTCTTTCTTCTTGTAATATAATAATTTTAAAAGGCATTACATTATCATAAATAATTTATTGCAAATCAAACTATTTTAAATTAAAATGCAAATAATGAATCTTGTGCTACTGTTTTAAAACTTGTGCTGAAAACTGATCATAATTTTCTTTACTTTGCGCTAAGCGCCATAGTTCTAACTATCCAAATAACTACTCTGTAAGTTTTTAATGTCTTCAGTGATATAAAGAACAGCTGCTGTTTCGGATATTGTTTAAAGAACTGCATAATAATATCTTCAATTGTATGTACAAAGAACAGATCTCTATCATAATCTATTCAAACAGAATTATTTTGGGGTGCTTTGAAATTTTGTTTCAAACAAATACTATCTACGATGAAATTTTAAATAGTTAAATTTACTTTATTATTAGTTATGAAATTTAATATTAGATCTGAAAAATGCAAAATAGAATTACATTTTTGTTATAAAGAGGGGGAATAAGAAAAAGGAAGATTTAATCAAATGCAATACTTTTGCAGTTTCGTTAATTCACTTACGTTACTCCATTTCTTCGATAACAAAACACATTGTGAGTAATTTTTTCATTAAAATAATCTTTAATTTTTATAATAAGCTACTTTTTTATAAATATAAAATAAGAAAATGAAGATAATTATAGCCTAAATTTCAAAGACTATCGAGGTGTAAAATTTACCAGCATATTCTAAAACTTACTAATATTGAGTAGTAAAAATCGAAAAGATTTAGCAATATATTTCTGTTTTAGGCCTTTAGCAACAAATGAAGGTAAATGTCAGGATTTACAGATTAACACTCCTAAAAAAGAAATCATGTGATTATTTTAGCAATTCAAGTTCAGTAACATAAATTAAGAAAACACAATTCTAACTCATAAGTGCTTGAAATATTTACTGAACTTGATACAAAAATTTGAAATTTCTGATTCCTCAAAGGGACCACTTAAAGATGTTTCTGTTCAAGTTTCATAGATTTCCTTCTAAGGAGAACTTGAAAAATGTTGTCACTTAAAAGAAATATTTGTTTAGATCATAATGTATAAGTGATCCAGTGAAATAATGACACAGTTATTCATTAATTTAGTCTTTTCTCCAGAGGTATAGGTATGAGCATAAAAGAACAGAGATAGCAGCCAGATACTAACGGTCAGTACGTTTATTTTTTAACTTAGAAGAAAGAGAACATTAAGCATACTACGATATAAAATAATATTACAAAGCATTTGGAAGGTTATATTCCAAAGAATTTCAGAAGTCGTATTACTCTAAACTAAGTTTATGCATAATAAAGTTTATAATATATAAATTATAACCGGTAGATAGAAATTGCAATCAAATTTTGAAATTCTAAAATGTTCTTAATTATTTGAGAGGCAAATGAGATGTAAAAAATAATAAATAGTGTAAGTTTCATAAATTCAGATCTAAAATTTAGCTATACAAAAAATGGAACAATTCTTAGAAAAAGTATGTGAATGTTTTGTGAAGTTTACATTGTGGAAATAATATATAGGTAAATTGATAATGACTTTCTAACAAATGCATTTTTCGTGAACTTCCTAAATTTTAATTACGTTTCCATGCAGGAGTTCCACCAGTCAGTTGGTGGTTTTCTGAAATGAAAGTTCATTGTGATAGGATAGAAGAACAGATGATCATTCCGAATAAGCCCTTGTTCCATACATCCCCAGTTCTAAAGGAGAAAGGTTTCTTGAAAATAAATATAAGAAGGAAATGAATCATGAAATGTTTTAATTTAAAAATTAAATTAACCCTTATGTCATTTTGACTGACTGTCGTCAGAAAATTCATGATTCCTTTTGACCTTGAAATTCTTCCTCTCTGCCTTGTTGCCTAACACTCGTAGCAAACGTACGTACATCCGATGTAAGCAGTAGTTTTTGTTGTTTATGCTCACTTGTCTTACGTAGACAGCCCGACCGCAAGAAGTTCCTTGTTTCAAGAAGCGCTAGATTACGCCTGCCGTTGGCAACAGCCTTGAGCACCTAACACCTAACCAGTGCGACTTGGCTCAGTTCCGCCCCCAATTTTAATAGAGAGCACTCTGGGGACGGGTCCGAGGGTCTCCTACCACCCTCTCCCCTTCCACCAAACAACACAAGACGACTTTCGGCTCGCCGCATATTTAGAGTTTCGCCATGCTATATATTTACAAACATCCATGCCTTCTCCAGGATTCGAACACGTCTCCTTCGGGACGGCAGTCCGCGACTCTAACCATTATACCGGTTGAGCAGTATAAGTAGCATTTAACGTAAGTAGCAGAGTTAAGTATAACTTGGGCCATGGAAGTTAAATTTATCGAGCATCCTTATTATAACATTGTGTGTTCCATCTTTAATTAGACGGTCAGTTATTTCTTTTCCCGTTTGGCTAACATGAGATTTAAGCATTCTAAGTTTGATATCAAGTTGTGGATTTGACTTGTTATAATTTACTGATGCTGTCAAAAATTAATGAGGAATGACTTGAACTTTTCATACTGTAAGTAGCAGACAGCTATCTGATTTAGTGCAAGGATTTCGTAAGTTATGATTAATTAATTTTCCATTCATAAGCTGCAAATAAAATAAATGATGAATTTTCTTTCAAACTAGTGTGGTAACTTGCAGGTAACGTACGATGTAGAGGTAAACATATCAAGGAGTTTAAAAATTATCTATATTGAAAATTTTGAAGTAGAAGAATTTTTTTAACATCTTCTTCCGCATATATGTGGAATGGTAAATATTTCCAAGCATTGAGAAAAAGTTCTTAAGATCTAGCTATACTGATGGAAAAGAAAATCACAGCTCCAAGAAAATAACAGTTTAGAAGAATGAAATGTAGGCAAAGCCTTTGTCTAGGTAACATATTTATTTGATTAATGTTTCAAAAACACAGGCTAAAATATGTGCGAGCCATTTCAAATTTAAAATGGTGGTACACTTAATAACCGTTGTAGTCGCGACGGTGTTGAACGCAAGCATGTAAACGCGCATGCATTGTGTCGTACAAGTGCCGTATATCATTTTGTGGGATGGATTTCTATGCCTGTCGCACTTGGTCGGTCAAATGAGCAACAGTCTATTTTGGTTGTGAATGACGCTGGATTTGCTGTGCAATCGTGCTCCTATATGTTCTCGGTAGAAGAAAGATCGGATGCTTTTGTAGTCCAAGGCAACATGTCGATACTCTGTAGAAAACGCTGAGTGACAGCAGCGGAGACAAGTATTATCCTGTTGGAAAATACACTCTGGGATATTGCTGTTGAATAGCAGAACAATCGATGCAGTTACCAGGCTGATGTAGATTCAATGTATCTAAGCCTTGGTAGTTTGGTCCCAAGCGCTCACCTAGAGTAATTTTAACTAACATATCGCCATCACTGGCACAAAAATAGTAAACGGCTTTCATATGAAACGTACAACAGATCTCCACTCCACCTTCCAGTGAGCACTAGCTTGACATCTACGAAGTCACAGATGGCGGTGATTTAGAGTTGGTGGCATAGCTGCTACAGGGCGTTATGCTCAGAGCTGTCCTTCAAATAATCGACTTGTTATATTTCGCTGTGTCACTTTGGTGCCAACAAAAGCTGGAATTTCGCTGCAGATGTAATGTGATGAGCCACAGATATGTGGCGAACACAGCGATCTTCCATTAAAGCAGTGGCACATGTGCGGTCGGACTCCGGTCGCCTTGAGACAGTACTTCACCCTGACCACTACTGCCGGAATGCATGCACAGTAGATACATTCCTGCCAAGTCAGTACATTCAGGTCTTTCTGCAATATCGTGAAGAGAAAATCCACTTTCACATAGCCCTATTACATGCCTCGTTCAAACTCCGTAAGATGCTGATACTGCCTTTTTCGTCTTGCTAAAAGGCTCAGATCTCGCTCAAAATACCTAATCCAGAAGGTAAATAAAAACACAAGTAGTTTGCACAGCGTATTTAAACAAACATGATTTGCATTTTCATAGTGACGCTACTAGCGCCATACTTATTCGTCTATCGCGAAATTTGATTAGGCATTATTTTTCAGGTGTGCAAACATGCCTCCCAGATTTCATTTATGTACCACAACTCTTTGAGATTTACCATCAGTATATTAGTAAAGAAAAGAGATATATAATATGGGCATCTGGAAGCCCAAATTTGGAATTTGGAATTGGTTTTATTATCTATTTCATATTTTGTAAAACTTTAACGAATATTTGATTAACAAACTCAACGATTTAAAAGAGAGCAATGGCAACACTCTACGGGAGAAAAAATCCCTTTTTATCTCCAGCGCGCGGAACTGTGTATCGGAAATTCTAAAGATATGCTCATTTTAAAATTATTTTGCGATATTGCTGTTGAATTGAAATTTTATGGTTTAAGGGCGAAGAACATGATATTTAGTAAATAAAGGTAACACACAAAACGTTAAAAAAACGTGCCTTTGGACATAATTTAAAATCTGCAACCTTTCAGATATTTTTTTGGTTATTTTTTTATCTTTTATTTAATTATTGGATTTCTTATGTAGATTTTGGTCTCTGTGATTAATTAATGATATGAGATTTTTCTTCAGAGGTAACGAGTTTTTGAATTCTTGTTTTTCAAAAAGAGCATTGAGTATTCCAACAGCTTCAATGCAGTTAATTACTCTAATTATCTTCTAAATTTACTGCTTACTATAAAAGCAGTATCATCAATAAAAGCTATTTTTACTATGAATGAGAGACAATTTTTTTAAAAGTAATGTTTTATGATTCTTCTCTAGGATATGATCCTTGAGGAACACCTTTGGG